TCATTATAAGAGCGATGTAGCCAAGTTATACATCTTTATAGTTAATCTTTATTTGCAAAGTATGTGGACTAAGCAATATTTATTCTAAATTTCCATTTTTGTATTGTCTGGAAGCTGTTAAAATTGTAATTAGTCTTGCCGTTAAGCAAACACTTGGTTGAAACCAGTATTTATCATAGCAGCTGAAATGATATTGTTTTGGCAGGACAGATACTTCTTCCAACTTTTGTGCAGTTACTTACTGGATTCACACACTGAGCTAAGCCACAATGTCGTTTCCTTGGTTTTGTTTTAGCAAATTACATGGATTTATTATTAAGGTTTGAAAACCGTTGTGTTTTTTTTTACCATGATGCATAATCTCAGCTCCTGGGGAGAAAAGCCATGTCAAATCTAGACAGCATACTAAAAAGCAGAGACATCACCCTGCCAACAAAATTGCATATAGTCAAGGCTATGGTTTTCCCAGTTGCAATGTATGGCTGTGAAAATGGGACCATAAGGAAGGCTGAGCGTCAAAAAATGGAGGCCTTTGAACTCTGGTGCTGGAGAAGACTCCTGCGAGTCCCTTGGACTGCAAGGCGATCCATCCGGTCAGTCCTAGAGGAGATCAATCCTGACTGCTCTTTAGAAGGCCAGATCCTGAAGATGAAACTCAAATACTTTGGCCACCTAAGGAGAAGGAAGGACTCCCTGGAGAAGAGCCTAATGCTGGGAACGATGGAGGGCAAAAGAAAAAGGGGACAACAGAGAATGAGGTGGCTGGATGGAGTCACTGAAGCAGTCGGCGGGAGCTTAAATGGAGTCCAGAGTATGGTAGAGGACAGGAAGGCCTGGAGGAACGTTGTCCATGGGGTTGCGATGGGTCGGACACGACTTCGCAACTAACAACAACAATAATAATAAGTTTCTTTTGTTGGATCCATAGATTTTCCATTGGGTTAAGATCTGGGCTATTCCCAGGCCATTCCAGCAGTGGAATAGGATTCTCTTGAAACTCTCCCCCAAAAAGTAGTGTTATTAGCCATCAAACCTCAAAAATACACTTTTCCCAAAAGGTTTCCACAATTTTGGCCACTACTGTAATAACCATGCCTCAAAGGTCATAAAATCGGGTGTTGCTCGCTTAACAACTGCCTTGCTTCGCCCCAGAAATTCTGGTCGTAAGTCGAGGACTACCTGTCTTTATTAGCGGATGACTAAACCCCATATTAAAAACATTTGATGCCTATTCAGCAGAGTTGAAAATGTACAGGCAGCACAGTTAAATTTTAGAAGCCAGAAAAAAGTGATTGTGTAATGTTTTTAAGTGGTCAGAGGGCAAAATGACACTTCCTGAGGCAAATGAAAACAGGAATTTGGGCCCAGCGCTGAACAAACGTCTGTTTCTGATATAATTGTAAGTTCATGCATGTGTACCGATAAGATTATTCATTTTTTTCTGAGGGAGGAAGCCGGGGTGGGTTTAAGTGTTTAATCATTTTGCCTCCTCGATTTACAACTACAATTGAGCCCCCAAATTTATGTCGTTAAGTATGAAACATTTGCCCCGTTTTACAACCTTTCTTGCCACAGTTGTTAAGTGAATCATCACAGTCGATCAGTTAGTAACACGGTTGTTAAGTGAATCTGGCTTCCCCATTGACGTTGCTTATCAAAAGGCCTCAAAAGGGGATCATATGACCTCAGGACACAGCAACGGTCATAAGTATGAGTCAGTTGCCAAGCCTCTGAACTTTTGATCACATGACCCTGGGGAATGCTACAAAGGTCGTAAGTGTGAAAAATGGTCATAAGTCTCTTTTTTTTCAGTGCCGTTGTAAATTTGAACGGTCACTAAGCGACCTTCGTAAGTCGGGGGCTGCCTGTACTAAGGAAGAAACTCTTCCCACAAGTTGTTTTGGCTACTTAATTGAGTCTGAATTAGGATCCCAGAAAGGAAAAAAATGGATTATCCCAGTAATTTTAATCTATAAATGCCTCCAGAAGTTGTGAATGCTCCAACACTGGAAGTTTTTAAGAAGATGTTGGATAGCCATTTGTCTGAAGTGGTGTAGGGTTTCCTGCCTAAGCAGGGGGTTGGACTAGAAGACCTCCAAGGTCCCTTCCAACTCTTCTCTTCTCTTCTCTTCTCTTCTTTCTCTCTCTCTCTTCTCTTCTCTTCTCTTCTCTTCTCTTCTCTTCTCCCTCCTCTCCTCTCCTCTCCTCTCCTCTCCTCTCCTCTTTTCTCTTCCCTTCCCCTCCCCTCCCCTCTCCTCTCCTCCCCTCTCCTTCCTCTCCTCTCCTCTCCTCTCCCCTTCCCTTCCCTTCTCCCCTCCCCTTTCCCCTCCCCTCCTCCATTCCATTCTCATAGATTCTCTCTCCTCTCCTCTCCTCTCCTCTCCTCTCCTCTCCTCTCCTCTCCTCCTCTCCCCTTCCCTTCCCTTCCCTTCCCTTCCCTTCCCTTCCCTTTATTCTATTCTATTCTATTCTATTCTATTCTATTCTATTCTATTCTATTCTATTCTATTCTATTCCATTCCATTCCATTCCATTCCATTCCATATTTTCTACTCCACTCCACTCCACTCCATTCTATTCCATATTTTCTATTCTACTCTACTCTACTCTACTCTATTCTGTAAATGGTTCTTAGATGATTCACCATCACTAAGATGGTGAATTATGGGTGATTTATATATTCCTGTCTTTTTGGCCATTTTCATTTCAATTGAACCAATCCACAAGTCTTAAAATTGCCAAGGTTGGAGATCTCTGGTTTAAATGATGCGGTTTTTTACAGAATTATTTTTTTGCCATGGTCATTAAATGAGACATCATGGGAGCATGATTAGCAACTTCCTCTCCTCTACATTGACTTTGCTTCTCGGGAGCCAGCTGGGAAGGTTTCGAATAGCGACGGTGTGATTCCGGGATATTGCAATCATCATAAATACGTGCTGTTTGCAGGTGTGATTATCAGGTGATCATAGGGATGCTGCAACGGTTGTAAGTATGAGGACCGGCTGTAAGGTACAGGCAGTCCTCGACTTATAACAGTTCATTTAGTGACCGTTCAAAGGTACATCGGCACTGAAAAATGTTATTTACGACCGTTTTTCACACTTACGACTTTTGCAGCATCCCCTTGTTCATGTGATCAAAATTCAGATGCTTAATAACTGATTCACACTTACGACCATTGTAGTGTATCGTGATCCCGTTTTGCGACCTTCTGACAAGCAAAGCCAATGGGGAAAGCCAGATTCACTTAACGGCCTTATCAACTTCAGTGATTCCTTTTAACAACGGTGGCATGAAAAGTGATAAAATGGGGCAGAACCCACTGAACACACGTCTCATTTAAGAACAGAATTTTGGGGCTCAATTGTGGTCGTAAGTCGAGGATTACCTGTACTGTTGTTGTTGTTTTTTTAGTGCTGTCATAATTTTGAATGGTCACTAATTGAATGATCCTAAGTCGAGAACTACAAGCACAGGTTGTCCTCGACGTGCAACAGTTCATTTAGTGGACTGTTCAAAGTCACAGCAGCATTGACATAAGTGACTAACGATCATTTTTCACAGTTACGACCGCTGCAGCGTCTCCATGGTCATGTGATCAATATTTGGATGCCTGGCAGCTGACTCATATTTATGACCGTTCCAGTGTCTCAGGGTCACGGGATCCCCTTTTGCGACCTTCTGACAAGCAAAGTCAATGGGGAAGCCAGATTCACTTAACAACCATGTTACTAACTTAACAATTTCAATGATTCACTTAACAACTGTGACAAGAAAGGTCATAGAATTCACGTAATCAATTTTTCCCTTTGCAACAGAAATTTTTGTCTCGATTGTGGTCATTCGTCAAGGACTACCTATAATAAACATGGTGCTGTGTATATCTGTGGTATCATTTGTGCACCAATGGCTTCTTTTAGCAGAGAGATAATTATACCAGAAAATATTCTTTTTCTTTTATATTGAGGCCTCCAATAATTCTTTAAAAAGTAGTTTTGGAAACTGGTACAGTAGTGGCCAAAATTGCGGAAACATTTTGGGGAAAGTGTATTTTCTAAAACTAGCTAATAACACCACTTTTTTTTTGGAGTAGTACCATAAAATTATATATCAATGGAAAGATAATTTAATCAAGAATGTAATGCAATAACTTTTAGGAAGGATTGGCTATTAGAATAGCAGTTACAGTATGAAGAAGAAAAGTGAAACACGTAGAAAAAACGGTATAGACAAAAATTATCACCATAGAAAAATCGAGATATACAAAAATTATCACTGTGTCAGTTAATACTTAGTTGGGTAACCTTTAGCATGAATGACGGCCTCACAACGTCTTCCCATGGAGTGAACCAAGTCTTTTAATTCTGCAGCTGTCATAATGTGAAACCAAGATTGAATGATGGTTTCTATTAACTGGGTTTTATTGCTGGGTCGCTTCTGACTAACAAGTTTCTTTAGTCGGCTCCTTAGATTTTCCATTGGGTGAAGGTCTGGGCTATTCCCAGGCCATTCCAGCAGTGGAATAGGATTATCTTGAAACTCCAAAAAAAAAGTGGTGTTATTAGCCATCAAACCTCAAAAATACACTTTCCCCAAAAGGTGCCCACAATTTTGGCCACTGTTGTATATAAACATCTTTAAAAGTTGTATCCCATAAACAAGGCAGGTTACAAATTCGCCTTAAATCTCCTTCTTAAAAGTAATTTAAAACTTAATACATTTAATTATTCTTTTTTTTTTTGACTCGGTTAAAAAAAAAAATCGTTCTTTCCGGTCGCTTTAATGCTCTATGTTACTGTGCAATATCGTAATTAAAAATACTTATAAGACTTTTAACCTTAGATAATTCCAGTGTGTTTCCCGTATAGCAACCTCCTTTCTCTGTCGTTCGTTTCCTTACCTTGATTTTTTCCCCCCTCTCAAGTCTTTTCTTTGTATCATGGCTTCCATGACATTTTTTTTCCCTTTCTTTTCCCCTTTTTTTGCTGTTTGCAAAGACTCTTGGGAGGATTTGACAGATTTGGTGGAGCAATTGCGCGATGATACAGAAGGTGCGTGCCACACCAACATGTGCTCTTCTTCACATTCCATTTGCCATAGCTTTTGTCGTCTTTTGAGCTGGGTCACACGCTGCTGTCCAGGGCTTGTCACTGGAGGGTCCATGCACATCCGCACCCATCTTGTTCTGCGTTTTCCCCGGTTAAAAACACGCATTTTCTCTTGATGTAGTCCGTGTCCATTGCATTCTTAATATGCACCCATACCTCCATTTATTTATTTCATTTCTCGGCTACTGTCGGTCACCATCGGAAGGAGCACATCCTTCATTTCCATTTAACAATAAATTTTAATAACCTTTAACAATAAATAAATAGAAATAAAATCCGTTCTGTACGTTGACGCTACATACTGTTTATTAATTTAATTTAATTAATTCAATTTATATGCCGCCCCTCTCCGAAGACTCAGGGCGGCTCTAAAGGTTCTCCTCTAAAGGTTAATATATGCAGGTAGTTCTCGACTTACGACCACAATTTGATAAGTGAGTTTTGCCCCATTTTTCGACCTTTCTTGCCACGGTTGTTAAGTGAATCACTGCAGCTGTTAAGTTAGCAACACGGTTGTTAAGTGAATCTGGCTTCCCTTTTGTTAGAAGGTCGCCAAAGGGGATCACATGACACCGGGACACGGCAACCATTGCCAAGTGTCCAAATTTTGATCCCATGTTCATGGGGAATGTCGCAATGGCCGTAAGTGTGAAAAACGGTCATAAGTCACTTATTTCAGTGCTGTTATAACTTAGAACGGTCATAAAATGAATGGTTGTAAGTCGAGGTCTGCCTGCATACCAGAACTTCAGAAGCTGAACTCTCTATTTTACTTCGCTAGAAATATACAGATAGTTCTTGACTTACAATCATCCATTTGGAGACCGTTCGAAGCGCTGGGAAAAAGTGACTTACGACCAGTTCTCGCACTTATGACTGTTGCAGGATCGCCACAGTCCTGTGATCAAAATCCAGGAGCTTGACATCTGGCATGTACTTAGGATCGCTTGGGAAGCCAGATTCACTTAATAACTCCGGTGATTTGCGTAACAATTGTGACCAAAAGGGTCATAAAATCGGGCTTGCCTCCCTTAACAACCACATCGATTAAGAACAGAAATTCCGATGCCAGTTGTGCTCGTAAGTTGAGGACTGTAACCTGTTCTCCAAAAAGAAAGTAAATCAGTCCCTAAACATCCAGAACCAAATCCTTAAAAACAGTGTTAAATATATAAATAACGGATACAGCCCATGCGCCTGTCAACAGGTAATAAAACAGCTTTCTAAATCTGATCATATCTGGACTGGAGCAAATAAATCTTTTAAGTCTTCAAAAAAATCCACCAGAGAAGAATCCCGGAATATTTTCTGAGAGGGAATGTCAATGGTACATTTATTTAAGGTTCAAGGATTCATTAAATGGAATATGTCGTAAACCTTTCGCCGCCTTATTTATATCCTTCATTCTTGACTGTTTTCTCTTTCATTATACGAAAGGTGTTAAAATCCTTTGACAGATGTTTGCTGCCTCACCCATGCACTTGTTTGCTTAGTTTCTTCTGTTCATTTCTTGCAGCAGATGAAATGTTTACTGCCACACCCATAAATAATAAATAAAGAGTTGGAAGGGACCTTGGAGGTCTTCTAGTCCAACCTCCTGCTTAAGCAGGAGACCCTATCCGGTTTCAGATAAATGGCTGTCCAGTCAGTTAAACATGGCTGCCTCCAACTCGTATCTCAAGATTTTTGCCTTCATCCTGTCCTTTTGGCGCATTACTTCAACCTATTTGGTGTATGTGCTGAGTGCATATGGACAATTGTGAATATTCAGGATTGCTATAAGGAGAACGGGCTGTAAGTGGGGAAAAACAGCGACATTTAAGAAACGTACAGGAAGTTATATTAGACATTCAGAGAAATGATTGCTTTTATAAGTGAATGAGGAAAAAAATGAATGTGTTATCTGGCATTCCTAGGTTGCATTAACCGAGGGATAGAATCAAGATCGTGTGAAGGCTTAAAACCACTTTATAATGCCTTGATAAGACCACACTTGGAATATTGCATCTAATTCTGGTCACCTTGATATAAAAAAAGATGTTGAGATTCTAGAAAGTGTGCAGAGAAGAACAACAAAGATGATTAGGAGGCTGGAGGCTAAAACCAGGGGTGAAATGCCGGTTCGCCCAAACCAGTAGTAAAAAATGCTACTGGTTCCCCAAACTGGTAGTAAAAAAAATGCTTTAAAAAGTTTTTTTAAAAAGTTCCAACTATCATGCATCACACAGCTGATCTTTGGAACTTTTTTTTTTTTTTTTTTTTACTTTTTAAGCATTTTTTTACTGCCAGTTCTCCAGAACCGGTAGTTAAAAATGCTCTAAAGTTCCGACGATCGCGCGTTGCACAGTTGATCTACGGAACTTTTTCCCCCTCACTTTTTAAGCATTTTTTAACTACCAGTTCTCACTTTTTTTTTCCCCACACTTTAAGCATTTTTTTACTACCGATAGTTAAAAATGCTTTAAAAAGTTAAAAAAAAAAAAAAGTTCCAATGATCCTGCGGCACAGCTGATTGTTGCACAGCTGATCTTCGGAACTTTTCTTTTTACTTTTTAAGCATTTTTTAAACTACCAGTTCCCTCCCCCCCACTCTTCTACTTACCTTGGCAGACTCAGAAAAGGCTTCTTTGCGCCTGTGGTGCGCATGCACGCAAAGCATGAGTTATGCGCGCAAAGCACGCATGCGCGCGCAAAGCAAACCGGTAGCAGACTTCAGAGCATTTCACCCCTGGCTAAAACATACAAAGAACGGTTGCCAAGAATTGGGTATAGTACTAGCTAGTTAACTTTGAGGGGAAGTCTATAATGCTAGGAAAGGTGGAAGGAAAAAGAAGAGGTTAATGAAAAGAAGGACTAGGGGTGACATGATAGCAGTGTTTATTTTTTATTATTATTATTTTATTTCAAATTTATATACCGCCCTTCTCCCTGAGGACTCAGGGCAGTGTACAGCCAGATAAAAACATATAATACAAACATTAAAAACAATTAAAAGAAATATCTCTGTTTGGCCCCAAATTTAAAAAGACAAAACCAATTAAAATTATTAAAATAATTTGTTAAGCCAGCCCGGCTTGCTGAAATAAGAAAGTTTTAAGGGCACGGCGGAAGGCACCGAGGCCTTGGATTCTCCTTATCTCTGGGGGCAGTTGGTTCCAGAGGGTGGGAGCCCCCACAGAGAAGGCCCTCCCCCTGGGGGTCACCAGCCTACATTGTTTGGCTGATGGCACCCCGAGGAGGCTCTCTCTGTGGGAGCGTATGGGTCGATGGGAGGTCGTCGGTGGCAGCAGGCGGTCTCGAAGGTAACTAGGTCCTATGCCATGGAGCGCTTTAAAGGTGGTAACCAACACCTTGAAGCGCACCCGGAAGACCACTGGGAGCCAGTGCAGCTCACGCAGGAGCGGTGTTATGTGGGAGCGCCATGCAGCTCCCGTAACTACCCGCGCGGCCGCATTCTGGACCAGTTGGAGCCTCCGGGTGCTCTTCAAGGGGAGCCCCATGTAGAGAGCGTTACAGTAGTGTTCCCATATCTCAGGGGCTGCCACAAAGAAGAGGGAGTCAAGCTATTCTCCAAAGCACCTGAGGGTAGGACAACAAGCAATGGCTGGAGACTAATCAAGGAGAGAAGCAACCTAGAACTAAGAAATTTCCTGACAGCGAGAACAATTAATCAGTGGAACAACTTCACTCCAGAAATTGTGGGTGCTCCAACACTGGAAGTTTTTAAGAAGAGATTGGACAACCATCTGTCTAAAATGGTATATGGTCTCCAGGTGGTAGGACTGGCAGACCTCCAAGGTCTCTTCCAGCTCTTTTATTCCGTTAAACCTGCCCAGCAGAAAAAGCTGCTCTCCAATAACCATTTTGCTGTTTTTTTAGCTGGCACCCACCTTCAGCTAAAACAGCCTGGTTTAGAAGACTTCCAGGATCCGTTCCATCTCTGTTCTTCGTTTTGTAACTTGCAGTGCTTACTCACCCTGTGTACGTACCAATGGTACGTACACAGCAAGATCACAGTTAAGCTTCACAAACTGTTGGCATCTTATAATAATACATGGAATAATCAAGTAACTTAACCCTTAGCCAGCTCCTGCCAAAGCAGTAGGCTCAAATGTGATTGGCTGATTTGTGGTTGCATGTGTGATGTAAACGCAGCCTGTGTGTGATATGCCACAATTCATTGTGGAAAGGATGTAAACAAATGAAACAGCATCTGGTTGCAGTTGGGGAATTTTTTGTGCCGCACAATTCTAGGCAAGGAAACAGAAATGGATAAGAGTCTTGACGTTACAACAGAAAACTGTAAGCTTTCGGTTTTTGTGGATTTATAGTTTGGAATGCAATAGAGTGGCTTTTGTGCATTTCCTTATTTTTTCCCCACGTTTACACCGGATAGGTCTGGCTTCAAAAGATAATTCGTTATCCGTGATACACTAAAGCTTTCTCTAACACCTTCTAATTTAATTGCGACATGTGACAAGTATGTTGTCCCACTGGGATGATCAAAATACAAAAAATGTGAAAAAATGGACATGATTTTACTTCTATTTCAGCATTTCATCTGTTGTTGTGGCCCGCCAGCGGCCATCAGAGCTGGCAGCAGATTCGGACAGTGAGGAGGTTGGGGAAGAACGTGGGCCAGTCCTGGAGTCTGGGGAAGGCTCGGATGAGGGCTCTGAGTCGGAGGCAGAGTGGAGGCCAAGGCCATCTTGTAGTTCTTTGCTGCCTCCAGAGTGTCCGGAGTCTGACATCAACGAGGCAGAAGAACAGTGTGAGCCTGTTCCCAGTGTGCGCATGCGCAGAGCTGCCAGGAGACAGGAACAATTAAGGAAACAGGGTTGACTTGGGAGTAAGGCTTGGAGATGATTGGCCCCTCCCATAAGACATAAAAGAGAAGCGAACGGGACATGAGCTTTTGCAGGAAACAATTAGTTCATCGGGCTGATTCAGGATTTGAAACTTCTGTTTGTGACTCTGTGCCAAGTTTGGCCTTGCCTTGAGTCTGGAAATTAGCTCTTTGGCAGCGTTCCACATGAGATAGGTGGGTGTTGATAACCTTCCTCTGAAAGACTGTTGATCAAGCCTTGCGGACTGTAAATGAAAGTAATTTACAGCTGTATGAATTAAAGAGGTTTGCCGGGACTAAGTTTGAGCTGTTTTAATTTCTAAGGAAGCTTAGGTCAAAACATATGTATTTGCCAAGATGTGACTAGTTCTAGTTTAAGAGACAGTAACAGATTTGGACATACTAAAAATGCTTTTTGCAAAAGGCAACTGGACTTTCTTGGGGGTTTCCACACACACACCCTTTGAAAACATTTCCCTTCTCATGCAAGTTAGAACCGAAGAAGTTCCTTGGTTGAGAAACAAAACATTTTCAAAGGGGGGGGGGAAAGCAAGAGAGACCAGTTGCTTTTTGGAAAAGCTCCTTTTTGGAACAAGCATGACCTGGATATATGGGAATCTCCATAGACATCATGGATTTGGAATTCTTTGGAAGGTACGGGAGCAAAAATAAAGCCTCCGTCCAGTGGTGAAATCTAAAATTTGTTACTACCTGTTCTGTGGGTGTGGCTTGGTGGGGAGGGGGGTAATGTGACTGGGTGGGTATGGCCAACTTCTTTTTTTTTACTTTTAAAACCATTTTTTCTACAACCTCTTCGGCTGAAGAGGTAAAAAAAGTGCTTTTAAAAGCCTCTGACCATCAGGCAACTCAGCTGGGATCGTCAGAGCCTTTTAAAAGCATTTTTTCTACAACCTCTTCGGCTGTTTTGTAGATAGGCTGTCCCAATCTTTCTCAATGGGCACCAAATATCTTATTTGGGGGAGGGAGATTGAGTCTGCTTTCTGTCGTTTAAGAAAAACATGTTTCTTCACTTCTTCTTTTTTTTTTTTTAATTATTTATTTCTTTACAACAAAATATTTACTCTCACACAGATCGCGACGGGAGCTTTACAGAATATATTAATTTCAGTCAAGATATACAAATAAAAAATAAAATCTACACTAACCTTATCCTTTTTTTATTCTATTATTCAACCAAGTATACCATTGGTCCCAGCATTGAAAATATACGTTTCTCCACTTCTCATTTAGGGAAATATAATATTCTGCCTTTTTAAAAAAACTATCCCTCAAAATATTTCATTCTTCTAGGAGAGGGGAGTGCTAACTTTCTACAGGGTTAGTAAAAAAAAATTATCTGTATTCTTTTGGAAACAAACTCATTTCCTTAGAAGCAGTTCCTGGATTTGTCTTCATACCAGTTTTCTGGGGAGGGAAGAATTCTGTTTAGTGAGGAAATATTTCATTGATTCGCCTATTTATTCTACAGATCTTTAAACTCAAATTCTGGGGCCTTCTGTTTTGTTACGCAAGTCAGCTTTAAAACTTTTAAAAGAACTGCGCAATGCCCCATGGCCACTTCCACATGGCTGTGGGCGAACTGGTAGAAACCCACCACTTGGCTGGCTGGGGAATTTGGGGGCATTGAAGTTCACAATTGCCAATCTTGGATGCTGTGTTGTGTACAGAGATTCTGCCAACACAACCTGCTCCGAGTATAAAGCAAGCGTTGCGCAGCTTGATTAAATCTCCTTTTGATTTGTGCTTGATTTGCAATGCAAATAATCATTCTTAGAGGAAGAAGAATTTATTGAATTAGGCAACCACGTTCCTTCAGTTTCGGTGTTTCCATTACGGAATTGTCAATATCAGTCCCTTGTTTTAATTGCAACCCACATTGTCTTGGTAAATAGGTTTGCAAATTAGGATTAGCGGGAGACTTAATAATAATAATGTTTAGTGGGGTTGTGCAGCGGTAAAGATTGAAGAGCCAAAAGATGATTCAGACCATGTTTAACAAACACAAAGTGTTTCTCAAACTTGGTAATTTTAAAATGTGCAGATTTCAACTCCCAGAATTAAGATGTGCAGATTTCAACTCCCGGAATTAAGTCCCAAAGATGCTTTTTTTTTCAAGAGGCAACCGGACTTTCTGGTTTTTCTTTCTTCAGAGCTGAAGAAGCTTCTTGGATGAGAAGCAAAACGCCTTCAAAGAAAAAAACAAGAAAGTCCAGTTGCCTCTTGAAAGAAAAGCACCTTTGGAATCAACCAGGGCCTGGATGACTGAGAATCTCCATAGACTCGCAGAATTAAGATGTGTGGACTTCAACTCCCAGAATTCCACAGCCAGCAAGGGTTGTATTTACAAAGGTTGCAGGGTCCTGGATTCTGGAATTGCCATTCACAATTTTCTTAGGGAACGTCTGATAAGTAAAGCCAGTGGGAGAAGCCAGATTCGCTTAATGACCATGTGATCCACTTAACAACTGCAGTGATTGCCTTAACAACCATGGCAAAAAGGTCGTAAAACAAGATGGGACTCACTTAACAGCTGCCTAGCTTAGCAATGGAAAAATTTGGGCTCCATTGTGGTCGTAAATCGAGGACTATCAGTATATATAGTATATCTTCTACCACCTGGGTGGAAATTTGGAGGATTTGGTCAAATGTCTTTTGGGAAGCCTGCCTTAAAGTTTTGCCTGTTTTCTGCAAGGATTATTTTTAACTTTCACCATTCTTGAACTATTTCTTGGTAGATATGACCATTGTCATTCTTAATGATAAGGTAAAGGTAAAGGTTCCCCTGCAAATACGTGCTAGTCGTTCCTGACTCTAGGGGGTGGTGCTCATTTCCGTTTCAAAGCCGAAGAGCCAGCGGTGTCCGAAGACATCTCCGTGGTCATGTGGCCGGCATGACTCAGTGCCAAAGGTGCACGGAACGCTGTTACCTTCCCACCAAAGGTGGTCCCTATTTTTCTACTGGCATTTTTTACGTGCTTTCGAACTGCTAGGTTAGCAGAAGCTGGGACAAGTAACAGGAGCTCACTCCGTTACACAGTGCTAGGGATTCAAACCGCTGAACTGCCGACCTTTCGATCAAAAAGCTCAGCATCTTAGCCACTGAGCCACCGTGGTTTTTTATATATATATATTTATTTTTTATATTCTTAATGATAACAATACAATAAATACTCCGTATTTTTCAGAATATAAGACACACCGGAGTATAAGACACACCTTAGTTTTTGGGGAGGAAAATAAAAAAAAAGCTGATTGGTGGGTGGATGGCCTCCTGGAATACCCCCAATCAGCTGTTTCCAGAGGTGAATTTTAGCAACAGGTTCATCGGCTGTGAGCTCTGTGCCTTGCTTTTTTTCCTGCCTCTGAAAATTCTGAAACTTGGTTTCAGAAAAAACTTTTTTTTCTGCCTCTGAAAGCCTCCAAAACAGAGCTTCAAAAAAAAAAAAAGAGCTTTTTTTTCTGAAGCTTCTTTCAGAGGCTTTTTTCAGCCTCTGAAATCTCCATTTGCGAAGCTGGGCGGGACTACATTCGGAGTATAAGACGTATTCAGATTTTCACCCTCTTTTTGGGGGGAAAGGTCCTTATACTCTGAAAAATACGGTATACAATATTCTTTATATTGATGTTCCATCAAGTCACTCCCAAGGCTTTAGCAATCACATTAGATAGACTTTTTCTACAATGATCTGGCCTAACCTGCTCCTTTAGCTCTTACAGCTGTTATCTCTGTGTTTTCTTAAGTGTTTTTTCAGTCGTCTGAAATTACGATCTTATTAAACCGTGTATGTATGTTCTCTTGCAGATCCCAACTATGTCATGGCCAATGAACGCATGAATCTGATGAATATGGCAAAACTAAGCATAAAGGGCTTGATTGAATCCGCTCTAAATCTTGGGAGAACCTTGGACTCCGACTATGCACCTCTTCAGCAGTTCTTTGTAGTCATGGAGCACTGCCTTAAACATGGCTTAAAAGGTGGGTATAGATTGACAGAAGATCTCCTCTAGGGATTATATCCACATTCTTAAACCGGAATAAACTAGTAGATAGGGCAGTATGCTTTATTTTCTAAGGTGTTTTCGTAGGTAAAATACTGATTAACACAGAGAGTCTCCAAACTTGGCAACTTTCAGACTTGTGGACTTCAACCCCCAGAATTCCTCAGCCAGCTATGCAAGAATACAAAATGCACAGGTACAGTATATGTGGTACCTCGCACAATAGTAGTAACTGTGAGAGAGATCTTGGAGTCCTAGTGGACAACCATTTAGATATGAGCCAGCCGTGTGCAGCAGCTGCCAAAAAAGCCAACACAGTTTTAGGCAGCATTAACAGAGGGATAGAATCAAGATCATGGGAATTGTTAATACCACTTTGTAATGCCTTGGTAAGGCCACACTTGGAATACTGCATCCAGTTTTGGTCGCCAGGATGTAAAAAAAGATGTTGAGACTCTTGAAAGAGTGCAGAGAAGAGCAACAAAGATGATTAGGGGACTGGAGGCTAAAACATTTAAAACGGCTGCAGGAACTGGGTGGGTATGTCTAGTTTAATGAAAAGAAGGACTAGGGAAGACATGATAGCAGTGTTCCAATATCTCAGGGGCTGCCACAAAGAAGAGGGAGTCAAACTATTCTCCAAAGCACCTGAGGGCAGGACAAGAAGCAATGGGTGGAAACTAATCAAGGAGAGAAGCAACCCAGAACTAAGGAGAAATTTCCTGACAGTTAGAACAATTAATCAGTGGAAAAACTTGCCTCCAGAAGTTGTGAATGCTCCAACCCTGGAAGTTTTTAAGAAGAGGTTGGATAAGCATTTGTCTGAAGTGATGTAGGGTTTCCTGCCTAAGCAGGGGGTTGGACTAGAAGACCTCCAAGCTCCCTTCCAACAATGTTATTCTATTCTATTCTAATTCTGGGAGCCAAAGTCCTCAAGTCTTATAAAGTTGCCAAATTTGGATCCTGGCTAAAAGGGATAGTCCATTTTCATCAGCAAAATCCATAAGTGTGTATATTTTTTCATTTCTTAGTAATGGGCAGTTTTCCCACACATATAGTAGACTTCATTTCCAGGTTTTCCCTGAATACATCTTCATATCCAAATATCCAGAACTTAATTCGATGGTCTACTCCAGTAGGATAAGAATCATAAGCCTACAAAATCAATGTATTGATTTATGGAATCAACTGAAACATTTAATGTATACTTTCAAACGGAACAAGGCGGGAACATCGTTAAATGAATGGGGGAAGAACCAATCTTTTAAATCAATTTTGGATTAAGATACAGTATTGAGAGTTTTTGAAACGTAGTGTTTGAATTTCTAACTCAATGCCACTGTTCCAAATGACTTTGAAATGCCAGTTCTGATATTAGAAACAAACAAACAAACAAAAAATGTTTTCGTTTAGCCAAGAAGACTTTTCTGGGCCAAAATAAGTCATTTTGGGGACCTCTGGAATTGGTAGAGAAGTTTGTTCCTGAAGCTGGAGAAATCACAGCAAGCGTTAAAGATCTACCAGGGCTAAAGTAAGTGTTCGCTTCTTCTATTCTTTCCATAAGATGCTGGTCAGTTTTTTCTCAAAAATTCTGTAAAGCAGCAACACTATTCATTAAAGACTCATTCGGGAATCCATAAAATCTCCATTTTGGAATGGAATGGAGTGGAGTGGAGTGGAGTGGAGTGGAGTGGAGTGGAGTGGAGTGGAATGGAATGGAATGGAATGGAATGGAATAGAATAGAATAGAATAGAATAGAATAGAAGTAGAGTAGAGTAGAGTAGAGTAGAGTAGAGTAGAGTAGAGTAGAGTAGAAGAATAGAAGAGTGGAGTGGAG